AAAAATAACAGAAAAAATTGATAATTTTTACTTGCGACAAGCTTTTCAACCTGAGGAAAAAAATAACAAAAAAATTATTTTCTTCCACTCTTACTTCGATTTCCATTACACTCTTTCTCAATGGGAACTTCTGAACATAAGGCTTCGGAGCTGGCTCGACCTACTCCCACGAAATGGAGTTTCACGACCCGTTTTACGTGAAGTGGCGTAATACTCCATGTGAAAAACGCGATGTGAAGTGAGTTGAAAACACTTCGAGAATTACACGGGAGGAATCACCCCATTTCGCGTTATTCTCTGCTCACATGCGTTTTTCGCGGAGTGAAATGCGAAATATATTTTTCACTAGTGTTTGTCATATCACATACGAAACTCATGTAAAAATATATATAGGAGAACAGACTATATAGTAGATCGGAGTTTCACGACCCGTTTTACGGGGAGCGGCGTAATACTCTGTGAAAAACGCGATATTCGCGGTGATATACAGTAGTCGTGGAATATATTTTTCATATCACTAGGGTGGTGAAAAACTCCGTTTTGCACGCATATACAAACTACTACCTTTAAACGATCTAGTAGACTTCGCTCGTACGTTTGCTGACGAATTTCACGACACCGGGAGTAGTATCTCTCTTGAGCTGTCAACGAACGTGGTGGTATCTTACAGGGAGACCCAGTCGAAAGTAAGGCTACTTCAGAGAGGAGCGGTATGAATAATACCGGTATCTCAGGCCTCTCAGCACGGCGGTCAATGAAAGTCAAATTACAGCGGTTCCACAAAACCGATTTGAATAGTTGAACGAAGTGGCTTGTCGTCATAATATCCCTAAAGTGGGGTAAGTCAACCTCAAACTTATTTTAATTTCCGTCCTACTCATCTATCACAGCGCCATCTTTCGTGAAATACTCTTGAAAATCTTCGAGATGTCGCGGGAAAAGTCTCGTCATCCATCTGAAAAAAGAAATCCATATTGCATATCTTCAAGTGTTGGAGTGAGGGAAAATATGCGCATGGTCAACTACGTGTCTTGGTGATGGCAATATGAAAATTCTAGGAGGAAATTTTGGAAAATTCTCCTTAGTTTCTCTACCTGAATTCGCATGAATAACAATAATTTCCCAAAATTTTTTCCTAACTTTCATATTATCATCATCATCCGATGTAGTTGAGGTCGTACATGCTCTCCAACACTCGTTTTACGCGAAGTGGCGTGAAAAAACTCAGTGAAAAACGCGATATTCGCGTTTTTCATATTCGAGATTATTCCCAAACTTACGTGATGAGATCCTCAGTAGACATGATCGGATAAAGAAACGTGAATAAGTCATCGCCATTCATACCGCTCGGTTTCCGATGTATCCGTATAGCTGAGCGCGAGCTCGGACTGGTCACTGCTTTCCTGAGAGATGTAATGCCACATTGTAGAAATTGATAATGGAAAAGTTGCATAAAATTGATAATGGAAAAGTTGCATAAAATTGATAATGTAAAAGATGCATAAAATTGATAATGTAAAAGTTGCATAAAAATAATAATTGAACAGTGGCATATAACTAGTAACGGGAAAATCGCATAAAACTTCAGAATGCGGAGAATGGTAACAAACATCAACGATTCTACTACCAACAACACCGACGATGCATTGATAAATGTTACGATGGAGTTTCACCACCCTAGTGATATGAAAAACACTAGTGGAAAATATATCTAAGATTGAACTTCGCGAAAAACGCATGTGAGCAGAGAATAACGCGTAAAACACGTGATGTGTTTAACGCGAAATGGAGTGATTGAATTCACATCGTGTTTTTCACATTGAATATTTTTATGCAACTTTTACGACCACAAAAGAATATCGTACTACCTCCGTTCACCCAATTTCCTCCGACAGAATTGCAAAGCCCGTTTATCGATCATTCTGTAAAGAAGATATAAATACAGTCGTCTTGGAGATTGCGCTGTCGTGTCAGTTTTCCCACGAACATATCTGATAGAAAAATCAACAAATTGCATATTTCCAGTGGAGTTTCACCACCCTAGTGATATGAAAAACACTAGTAAAAATATATATTTCACGACTACTGCATATCACCGCGAATAATATCGCGTTTTTCACAGAGTATTACGACGCCACTTAACGGATCGTGAGACTCCATTATTATGATCAGTGTTGCCAACAGTGTGAATATATATTCCTACTCCCAACACTGTGTTGGAGTAGGAATATATATTCGCCTTCCTCAGCAGCTGAGCTCAGGAGTTTCCAAAGAAAATTATAGAAATTCGGGTAGAAGTGTACAGAAATCAATGAGAATTTTCCATATTGTCACCAACACATGTAGTTGACCATGTGTATATCTTTTTCATAGGGTAGAAGTGTACAGAAAGCAACGGAAATTTCTCAAAAATTTCCTCCCAGAATTTTCATATTTTCCTCTCACACAACTCACAAGAGTTCGAAATCCCTGAGAGTGAGTTTTGGTTTCTTAAGATGCATATCAATCTGGAAAGTCGACACCGGCTTCAGCTCGGACACTTCCCACATCATTGACAACAATGTGTCATGATCAACCTAAGATACGCCATGTGCCTCCTCCGGGCCTGTTTTGAATCTTTCACGCTTGAACCTAAGATACCCACCTTCAATTCGTCCTGCTTGAGAGACTCAGCGAGATCTTCATCAGAGATAAAACCGTCGTTGTCCAGATCGAGGCTTAGGAAAGCTCCTCGCACTCGGAGGCGTTCAAGGTTAGTGATATGTTTATGATTAACTTCTGTTGCGTATCTTATGACATCCCGTCGGACCTGTTTTGAATCTTTTTCTCTTTGCTTTACACATGAATTTGGTTATGAAATTCCCCAAGATGTGTTTTTTCCAACACTGGAGTTTCACCCGTTTAACGTGAATTGGCGTAATACTACGATGACTGTGATGATTGTCATCCATTTTCATGCAAAAGGAGCTCTTATGCATTGTGTATTTTCGACACTAAAGACATTAACTACCCCTATGGGAGTCTTAGCGCTACAGTGTTGATATTCATTTATTATGTTTTCGCGACCGATATCACAATTGTTTTTCACCAAGTGAAGTGTGGATATCATCGGGGAACCTATAATGC